CGCGGTCCCCGGCCCGGCCCGGCCCCGCTGCACCCGCCCGCCACGCCCACACCACACACCCCGCAGAGCTCGCAGAGCTCGCATAGAGCTCGCGCACACCCGGCTCAGCGCGCAGATTCACCAGGGGATCTCGGGGAGCCGCGCCCCGCTGCGCCCGCCTCGCCCCGCCCGGCCCGGCCGGTCCGCCTGGATGGAAGAAACGTACCTTGACCTTGGAGCTGGGCGTCCCTGGAGCCCCGCCCGGCATTATGGGGGTTGAGGGCGGACCTGCAACACAAACAAGACACGCGTCAGCAAAACAGACGAATAGAATAACAACAAAACAGAAGAAGAGGGCGCAAGCACTCCCGCACAGCAGCAGGCTTCCCTCCCGTCTCGCCCGCGCCTTTTCTTTATTAAACACAAAATATCCCCACGAATATATAACTAGACGGTGCAAAAGTTAAAGGCCGGGCGAACCAAGGGAGTGGCGAAGAGAGAGAGAGTTCCTCAAGAGCTTTGAGGTTTTATAGGCACCCCGCCACAGCCATCTCTCCTTTGATGGGGTGAAACAGAGAAGGGGCGGGGCCGCGCGGAGGAAAGGGAAAACCGCAAACCTGTTACAAAAAAATAAAGAAGAAGAAGTCCGGCGAGAGGAGCGGACGTTGCGTCATTAAGGGCAATTGTGAAGCAGCCGAGATCAACTTGGGGGTTGGGTGGGGACCCGCGGCGGCGCAACCGGGCCGCCCGCACAGAGTCAGAGTGAGGGTTTTGCCACCCGATCTGTTTTTGCGCCATAGCACTAGTAGTAGTAGTTGTAGCAGCGTGCGCCACAGCCCACCAGACCACACCCCACCCCACCCCGCCTCGCCTCGCCCCGCCCGTGCTGCCGGTGGCACGCTGCTCTGGAGGAGAGGCGCGCTGCCCGCGACAAAAGCAGCCGGGCTCGACGACGACGACGACGTCGACAACGACGGTCGCACTATTCACGGGAAGAGCAGCAGCGCAGAGGCGTGAGAGGAAAAAGCGAGAAAAAAAAAAAAAAAGCCAAACAAAGCGAGTTTTATTTTGGACGTTTGCGTCACCTCGCACCTCATCGCCAGCCCCCTCAGCTCAGGCCCCGGCGGCCCCGGCCCAGGGAGCAGCAGCGCCAGAGGCTTAGGCGAGGATGCCGGGGATGCCGACGGATATGAATGAGCGGATAAATGAGTGAATGGGGACCGGCGTCACGGAGCGGCGCGGAGCGGGACGGGAGCCTCACAAGGGAACCTTTTCAGGTGTAAATCTCCGATTTCGATGGTACTCGGAAAATTTAAAAGTTATTATAATAGAAGTCGGATGGCACTTAAAATTTTTCCTAAACTAAACATTTACTAGGGGTTTACTTAAGCCTGACACTGTTTTTTGCTCCAAATATCCCTCTACCGCTTCAACGGTTCAAAATAGAGCAAAACGGATAAAATTTTGGCCCAAAGGGCACTACTTTGACGAGTTACCCCTTAGAACACTGCTTTACATTTTTCAAAAAATATTTCTTTCTTACACCTTAATCCTACCTTATATAGGGGAAAACTAAATGTCAGGTTTAGGAAAAATTTCAAGTGCCATCCGACTTCTATTATAATAACCTTCAAATTTTCCAAGTTTCAACGAAATCGGAGATTTACACCTGAAATGGTTCCCTTGTCAGCGAGGCGGGTCACGCAGCGCCGCGCAGCGCCACCAGCCCAGCGACTCGGCGACGCTGCCGAAAAATTACTCACCCCCCCTCCCCCTCCTACCATCCCCTGCCGTAAACAAATTACGCCTGTTCCGCGACTGTTTTTCTCTGAGGGGTTGGCTCGGTAGGGTAGGTACTTCTTTGTGCTTCTTGTTCAGCGCACGGATCGATAATGGAAGCTATTTTCATGATTATCGGTGGTACTCCACCTCCACCACACTGAGAAAATGTTTCCATTAAATTAATGGTAATTCCATTCTAGCGCAATAATTGAGAATGTCTGCTCATAATATAAGACTTCGACAAGAAGTACTGTAGTTGAAACCACTACATAGTTCATGGTCATGAGACGACGACGGCGTGGACATCGTTCGGTCGGGAAAAAATCACTCGCGGGTCATTTGTCGGTCGTTCCCACTCAGCATAACGCGTTTCCGGAGGGATACATTATTGACGCCTGGGGTGCGCGCACACATACACGCGTACAGTCACGCACACAGTCACACAGACACACACACACACACACACACGCACCCACGCACGCGCCTGCGGGAATAATTAGCCGCTTTCAATATTCATCATGACGCCCCGCTCTGGCCGTGGCGCTGAAGCGGCCCGAGCGGCCGGAGCGGCTGGAGCGACACGTCGGCTCCGCCTGCGGTGAGGGTGGTGCGCTCGGGCTGAGCGTGCGCAACACATACTCCCCGATGATGCGAAATAAACCGTACGGCGCGCAGACTGCAGATCAAACAGCGACATAATAACAACAAGCGGCACCACCAACAACAACATCAACATCCGCGCCGCGCGGCCAAAGGCGCCGCTGCTGGAACTACGCGAAATAAATCATACCAACTTAGAGGCAGCCGTCCATGCTCGGGATATGAGGAGCGGACGACTAACTGGGCGTGGGCGCGGCGGTGTAAGGGAACCAAGTTGGAGATCGCGCGGGGAATGGAGCGGGAGGAAGTGGAGAGTGTGTGGGCCCTGCGGGGGGGGGCTCGGCGGGGCCCGCAGGGGTTCACCCTGAGCCCGGAGAGCGGCCAACAAACAAGCGGAAAGGCGCCCCCGCCCCGCCCGGCCACCCCCCGCCGCGCCACGCCCCGGATGCGCGAGTTAGGAGTCCGCGACTATTCGTGTGTAGTGCGTGTGTGATCCGATACAAGCGGGCACAAGAAAAAACAAACAAAACTACTCGTGGAGAAACTCTCCCTCTCTCTCACCCCGACGGCGGCGGTAGCAGAAGAGGGCGCGGGCGGCGTCGGCCCGCGGCGAGGCCACGACGGCGGCCACGGGCACGAGGATGACGCCGGTGTGCTCCATAAGGACGGCGGCGGCGGGCGCGGGGCGAGACCAGAGCAGCGACTGGAAGGCGCGACAGCCGCGGAGGGAATGCCAAACGAGCGGCCGCGGACGCCGACAAAGAGCCAGAAGCGCGCGAGCTTAATTTATGGCGGAAGGTCCGTCGGAAGCTTGTCGCGGGCCGCGGGAGGGGAGCTATCGACAGATCGGCAGGCCGGCCGGTCACGATCCATCGCCGCGTCACCTCCCGTCACGTAAGCGGCGCCAGGACCGGCGACAGCGGCCGGCGCGGCAGGCCCCTCTGCGAAAAGCTCCGGTCTGAGTCAGGAGCGCCTGGCGCCGGTGACGAGGGCGAGGCGGAGGTTGCCCGCGAGCTAACCCGCGAGCTAACCCGCGAGCTTCCCTGCGCCAGCCCCGCGCCAGCCCCGCGCCAGCCCCGCGCCAGCCCCGCGCCAGCCCCGCGCCAGCCCCGCGCCAGCCCCGCGCCAGCCCCGCGCCAGCCCCCCAGCCCCACGCCCGCCGGCCCCACGCCGGGTGAACAGATGTTGGCCTCAGCCTCCCTCCCCTCCCTCCCCACCTGCCCCACAGACACCTGCGCTGAATAATGCATGCGGGCTCAGGCCCTTCCTTATCCTCTCCTACCCTAACCCCGTCCGCCCCGGCCCCGCCCGGCCCCGCCCGGCCCCGCCAGAGGCTAGGCACAGAGGAACTGGGCGGGCGGGGCCGGGCCATCGAACACTGCCACCGGGCGGGCAGGGGCCCCCGCCGCCCCCACCGTCGCCGCCGCCCACGCCCCGCACGCCCGCCCGGGCCGCGGCGGGTCGCCAGAGACTAAGGCGTGTCGCATGAACTCCACGACGGGGCTGCGAGGGCCTCCCCCGACAGCTAGCTGTGGTCACCGACCCCGTTACCGCCGCCCGAGAGGATTTGTATGAAATGAGAAAGGCAAAAAAGCAAAAAGAGAAAAAGGGCCAAAAAAACACAAAAATAACAAAAAGGAGAGAATGAGAGAGAAGGAAACCAACACGGGGAGCAGGACAGCCAAGCCTCCCCGAGCGGCGCGCGATGCGATTTTTCACGAGCTAGCTGGGAAAGAAAGGGGAAAATGAAAAGGGGTAGGGGGCAGCAATGATGCGCAGCTCTGCCTCCCCCCC